AAAAAAAGAAGTAGATCACTTAACTGTTTGCACCAACAAATCTTAGAAATTACTGCTGCGGAAATGTCTTGAAGAAAAGGAACATGTCAAAGGGACAAACTTTTCATTTTCTATTTCCTTCTGTTTTTATTTGCTAAGAAGTTTCAAATGTAGGAAAGATTGGGAAGGAGAAATATGTTATGCCAAAAATGGTGTCAGAAAGAGCTGTAGAAAGAGAGCTAAGACAAACTCGATCCCAAGACAAGCTTTATTTAAGACAAAAGAAGAAAGCATAGGAGTCCCTGATAAATAATAGGCAAATAAAAAATGAGGTTTGATTAGAAATTATAGAATCTGAGGTGGCAGAAAAACAATGTGACAATTAAAAGGTGTCTCTAAGATTAACAATGGCATCACTGGTTTAACTTGATTCTCTGCATATGATAGGATTTGCTGTGATAATTTTCTGTTTTAGGTATCTGTGGATACAAGCTTTGCAGTATCACCATCTCAAGTCTGAGATTTTCCTGCTGTTCAGTTACACCAGCACGCATTGCAAAACATTTTAACACCTCCTCGTGTGTTTCTAAAAGAGACTAAATCTCCCCTAGCTTGACTTATTTCCTTGGCAATCAGTCAGTGTTACGCCTTTTCTGTTCATTTACTGGAAGGATATCTATGTGAAGAGACTTGATGATTTTGTTATTGATGCTTGGAGCTTCCCAATCTCCATGTCCCTTGCCCAAGCATGACCCTTAACATAATTCTGAGTCACTCTCCCCTGTAGGAGAATTCTGTAACCTGGAAACCATCCATAGACTTCAGGGTAATGACAAATCCAATAAAACTGTATGCAAAGGTGGTAAGTGGTTGCATTTTGCTGAGCAGAGGATCCAGAGTTTCCATTAGATTTTTTAAGAGACACAAAGAAACGAAAAATCACTGTCTTAGGCAGTCTAACTCATCAGTATTCCTGATGTAAGGAAAGAAAAAGCTGCACCTGAAAGAAAGGGAGCCTCATGACCCTTCCAACCTTGTCTTATTTCACTTCTCTAGAGCCTTCCTAAAGTCATTAAATTGGTTAAATCACTCCATTTCCAAGCTTCTGTTTCTTAGTGAGTGACTCTTTCCACCATTTTGTTACACTGTGAAAGCAGAAAGGCTATTACAGGATCGTTTATGCTTTCTAAGTTAATTGAAAGCTAGTTCTCAAGGAGTTTTTAAAGAGCATCTCCTCCAGCATCCTCATGTGACATATTTTATATATTAACTTCTCCAGACATCTAGTTAACAGCAGAGCCATGCCGGGCAGAATCTTTCTGTTTCACCACTATTTTCCTAATTTGGCCTTACTTGAAAGGCTCAAATATTTGCAAAATCTGGCAGGGGAAAACATGATATTAAGGCATTTTAGGAGATGATGGACAAATGATGGCCATTTACTGCCTTTTGTCCCCAAACCCAATGATAATATATATCCAAGAGGATTTTCCAGTTTAAGCTGGGGATTGTATATGGAAGGCACAGAATAACTCAACATGGATGATTTAAGATTGTAAATTAGCCAGCTGCATGACTGAAAAATGAAGAGTGCTTCCTTTTCCTTTCAGGGGGGAAAAAAAACCCTATTTCCTTCTCTCATCTTTTCTTCAGCAGATGGCAGTAAGCAGGTTCATGGAATGGAATGGAAACCACTCCTCTGTGACCAGGTTTGTTCTCCGGGGTCTCTCAGATGAAAAAGAGCTGCAGCTCATCCTCTTTCCAATATTCCTAGGGATCTACCTTGTGACTCTCCTCTGGAACCTGGGTCTTATTCTTCTAATCAGGATGGACTCGCACCTGCACACACCCATGTACCTTTTTCTCAGTTTCCTGTCCTTTTATTGACATCTGCTATTCTTCTTCCATCAGCCCAAGGATGCTTTCAGACTTCTTAAAAGATGAAAAAGCGATCTCCTTCATTGCCTGTGCCACTCAGTATTTTGTTGCAGCCTGGATGGGTCTGGCTGAGTGCTGCCTCTTGGCCGCCATGGCCCTCGACCGATATGTGGCCATTGGCAGCCCTCTGCAGTACTCAGCCATCATGGCTCCTGGCCTCTGTGGGAAGATGGTCGCTGGGGCCTATGTGATTGGTTTCCTTAGTAGTTTATCTCAAACAGTCTCTTGCTTTAATCTCTACTACTGTGGGCCAAATATCATTCAACATTTCTTCTGTGACCTGCCTCAGATTATTCCCTTGTCTTGCTCCAATCCCTTCATCAGCCAAATAATTCTTCTTCTGGCAGCTATTTTTATTGTGTTTGGTTCTTTGCTTGTTATCCTCTTGTCCTATGGTTTCATTGCAGCTGCCATTCTGAAAATATCCTCAGGCAAAGGTAGTGCCAAGGCCTTCAATACCTGTGCCTCCCACCTGGCATCTGTGACACTCTTCTTTGGCACAGTCCTCTCTGTGTACATGCATTCCAGCTCTAGTCACTCCATGAAGCAGAACAAGGTGTTGTCAGTGTTCTATGTCGTCCTTATCCCCATGTTGAACCCTCTGATCTATAGCCTGAGGAACAAGGAGATCAAAGAGGCCCTCAAGAGAGTAATAAAGAGAGCAACATATTAACCTCAGTAAGAATAATATTTGGACAGGTATTATTATCCCTGCAAGAAGGATGGAGGTAAGAATGTGTAAGTCACTTTTTGCAGATAACAGGAATAACTAGGCAGCAAGAAGAAGTGAAAACCTGATTTCCTTGATTCCTGGTACCATCATGCTTAAGTGCCACCAATAAGTGATCTGTCTGGGACAGTGACCTCGATGTTGAATACAGTTTAAAAAGCCAATTTTCATGATTAGCACTCAGGTAGATAAAAGCTAAAATGTGACTGTGCTTTGAAAAGAGAAGTGCTGATAGATATCTGTATAGAAATGACAAGAACCCAGAATGCCACAAAGCCTATTCTTTCCTTCACAGGTTTTCTTTCTTTCTTTTTAAATGTTTAACTTTTATTTATATTCCAATCAAATAAAATAATATGTTAAATTAAATATTTAACAAATAAAGCATTTATAAAGGAACACTTTATAACTTTCTCCCAAATTGAGAGAACAGAGGATTTGTCTGGGTTTAATTCCAAGGAACTTTGTTCCGTCTACCTTATCACTCAAGCCTGGGGGAGAAATTGAATTGTAAAAAAGTTATGGGAGACATGAAGGGTAAAAGGCAGGGGGAACTTTGGGGTCAAGGTTTGGGGAGTTTAACTTAAAAAAGTTAAAGGTCAGCGATTTCTAGGCATAGGTGGGTCTGGTGTGTGCTCCACTGCAGCACCTTGGAGACTGTACAGGACCTCAGCAGTGATGGCTGTCAAGGCGTGTCCGGGAAGTCAGGACCCAAGTCCTGGAGATCTGAGACTTCCTGGGATTTCAGGGCCTTAGGTTTCCCAAGGGATTGGCAGAGACATCAGACTCAGGGGTACTAGGGAGATTCAAACTTGATGAATTTTAAAAACAGATCTGTCTTTCAGACTGGAGTTTATAGACTAAGTTTCAAGCATATTGCATTAACATTTATACAACACTTTACCCTTCACATAGTTCAATCGCACAGATTAGATTTTTTGTATTCCAGTGTGAGGTTAGCAGGCAAAAAATTATCCCCATTTTACAGGTGGAATGTTTGGGCATATTGAGGGCTTCCATGCTCTTCCCAGTGTAGGCAACAATCTGTCTCAAATATGACAAAATGTGATTTGTGTAACATAAATTGTTCTAACTGACAAAAATATGTCCTCTGATGATCTGCCACTTTGTAAATTTCATAGTCTTGGTATTATTTCTTTAAAATTGTCTCAAGAAGCTGTTCATTAAAAAAATAATTAACTCATTGCCTGCACCCTCACCCCTTTCCCCCCAAAAATATGTTTGGCTGGTACTGATCAAATCAAGAATGGAATCTTGTCTAAAACATTTCCGTAGCCCTGGTAACTGGCAGGTAGGTGAGATCCTTTCCAAAAAATAATGTAGTAGGGAATTATTCTAAGTAGATATTATTAATGAAGGATTAGAAATGCAGCATAATATTTGGGAAAGAACTCTAATTGAGAACATATAAATTATACCTACTACTAATAGAGGAAGGACCTTTGGTGGCACAATAGTTAAGCACTTGACTGCTAACTAAAAGTTGGCGATTCTAACCCCCAGTGGTTCTGGGGTAGAAAGACCTGAGGATCTGCTCCCATTAAAATAACAACAGCCTAGAAGACCCAGTGGGGCAATTCTACTCTGTCACATGGGATTGCTAAGAGTTGAAAATTGACCCAATGGCACCTAACAATCACAACACTAGTAGAGGGCCTATTTTATACTACAAAGTGTTTTATAACCATTATCCAATTTAATACTGTCTCTGAAGAGCTGTTTTATAAAGTTGTTGTTGTTGGTTGCCGTCAAGTCAATTCTGAGTCATGCCCCCTATGTGCAGAGTAGAATTGCTCCATGATTTTTCAAGGCTGTGAAAGCAAATCGCTAGACCTGTCCTCTGAGGTACCACTGGGTGGGTTCAAACTGCCAAACTTTTGGTTAGTAGCCAAGTGCTTAACTGTCTGTGCCATCCAGGGACCCACTCTATGAAGTAGCTACTACTATAAACCATATTTTAGAGGTGACAAAACTGAAGCTTGGAGAGGTCAAGATCACATGACCAGCAAGTTTCAGAGCCAGAATTCAATGTAGATAGGCTGTTTCCAAAATCCACAACTGTAATAAGTAGTGGCTCTATCATGAATCAGCTTTTTGCATTTCTTAGTACAGTGCCTCAATTTCCTCACTTATGCATAAGAAATTATACCATAACTGCCTCACAGCCTGCCCTGATGACTGATTCGGGTAAAGTATTTGAAAAAAATGTATGTATGTATCTATCTAAAATGAAAGTGCATTGTAAGCAGGGAGCTGCATGCACACATATAAAATTTATTGCTATTAAGCTGTTGTTGATGGACTGACATAGTGGCTACAACAATGGGCCGAAACATAACCATTGTAAGGATGGCTCAGGACTGGGCAGCATTTTGTTCTGTTGTATGTAAGTTGCTATGAGTCAGAACCAACTCAAACCTAACAACAAACTGTATTAAGAGCTAGGGGTGTCCTCTGGATCCTCACCTGAAAGTTAAGAGTATTGGACTAGATGATCCCTAGGTCCTTCCTAGTTCAAATGACTCCAAGGACTGTAAATAAAATCCTATAATTATGACATCATGATAAGTCCACAGGGAAGTGGGAAATAGATCCAGCAGGAACATAGCAAGGTGGGGCATAAAATCAGCAGGGATGAAAACTCCATGGTAACCATACACCAGAGAGCATCACCTGGAGACTTTCCTTCCTCTGATTGGCTTGTCTCCTTTTACCTCTGCCCTTAACAACACAGTTAAGAGGATGCCCGGTTGTGGACATCCCTCTTGCTGGGTATGAGTGGACAGCCAGTTTCATGGCCCAACAGAGATATGGGGGTGCAATAAGACCCACTTGGAAAATTGCTTTTGAAAAGAAATAAGCATTTTTGATCTTTGGTAACAGCTCTGTGTTTTTAGGGTATCTGATCAAGGTCCGAGGGCAGGACCTAGAGAGACCAGTGGATTCTGTGCCCTCTTCAGTATCTACGTGATTCTTCCAGTAGAATCCACCTGGGCAAGGTTTATGGTCCTCAGTCTCTCCCATTTTTCAGCTCTTCCCTCTCCTTCACTTGCAAACCCTCCACTCAGGGCTCTTCCTCATATTCTCTTCCTATTTACTTAAATATTCTAAGACTCTTTGTTAGCTTTCTAACCTTTAGTGAAAAGAATAATCTCTAATATAAAATTTCAGGTATTACTCTGGGGTGGGATGAGGGTTTGAATTCTAATTCTGCGGTTTCTTAAGGATGTGATTTTGTGCTCTATTTCCTTCTGTTTTTCACCCCTAAATGGGAACAATAGGAGCATCTAGAATTAAATGAGACAATGCATGTAAAGTCTGACATATAGTATGACATATTGTAAAAGTCAGTAATTAAGAACTGAATAAAAAATAATAATTTACAGTTGGTCCTTGAATGAAATGATAAGTAGACATTCCCTGCTGTAGCCTCCCGCCATCTCACAGATCCTCAGTCTCTCTTCAGCACTCAGTGTTTGAGCATTGTTCACCTCGCGTCTTGTCATTATTCCCTAAGCAACACAGTACTGTATAACAGCTATTTACATAGCATGTACATTGTATTAGCTATTAAAAGAAATCTAGAGATGATTTAAAATATATGGGAGGCGTAGGTTATATGCAAATACTACATCATTTTATATAAGGGACTTGAGCATCCTCCTATTTTGGCACCCAGGAGGGGAGAGGGGGAGTTTGAAACCAATCCCCTGTAGATGCTCAGGAATGACTGTACTGGATTTCAGGAGAATTTCTAAGATGAAAACATGCACATCTATATTTCTCAACTTTTCCCACCCCAAGGACTTCTTAAATTTAATTTTCATCCCTGAGGATACTGGTTTTGAAATAATCAATTCCATTTCTATTTAAATATAAAGCATGCATTCATAATTTGTTGGCAGCAAGAGACAAACTGAATCACTACATAATGATAGAAATGTTGTCCCCAAACAAAGTGTTCGTGTACAATTCCACTGGGCTTTTGAAATACTTCAGATAGCACTCCATTGTCATCTTCGCAGACCCTGTGGTCAGAAGACACTAGACTGGGGAACACAGTATCACAGACACTCACTCAAAGCACAGGTAGTGTTGGTCTAACTGTCCTTTTTAACCTTCCCTTGCTTACATTGTTCTTCATTTAGAAGTATTCCCAGGTTTCATTATCGTAACCATACCACAACATAGAAAACTGACCACGTTTTTATTATTAGATCAGCATTGGGAAGTGGTTTTTCTTTTTTTTTTAAATTGTACTTTAGATGAAGGTTTACAGAGCAAACAGTTTCTCATTAAACAGTTAGTACGCATATTGTTTTATCACAATGGTTAACAACCTCACGACGTGTCAACACTGTCCCTTCCAACTTGGGTTCTCTATTACCAGCTTTCCTGTCCCCTGCTGTCTTCTAGTCCTTGTCCCTGGACTGTTGTGCCCCATTAGTCTCGTTTTGTTTTATGGGGCTGTCTAATATTTGGCTGAAGGGTGAACCTTGGGGGTGACTTCATTACTGAGCTAAAAGTGTTTCCGGGAGCCATACTCTCAGGGTTTCTCCAGTCTCTGTCAGGTCAGTAAGTCTGGTCTTTTTTTTGTGAGTTAGAATTTTGTTCTGCATTTTTCTCCAGCACTATCCAGGACCCTCTGTTGTGATCCCGGTCAGAGCAGTCAGTGGTGTTAGCCTGGCACCGTCCAGTTGTTTGGACTGTCTGGTGGAGGCCATGGTAGTTGTGGTCCATTAGTCCTTTGGACTAATCTTTTCCTTGTATTTTGTTTTCTTCATTCTCCTTTGCTCATGAAGGGGTAAGACCAGTGGAATATCTTAGATGGCTGCTCACAGGCTTTTAAGACCCCAGTGAAGTGTTTTCATTATCTAGATACACATAATAAAATCTCCAACAATTTTTACTTCAGTCACCTTTTATTCTCCATATTCTGTTGGAGAATGGTGAGCCATGCAAAGAAATT